GAGGTCAGGGACTGTGGGGATGAGATGACACGTACCTGTTTATTGAGGCAACATTGCTGCTCCGTTGATGAAGAGAATGCTGATGTGCCACGTGGCACTTTGAGGAACTCGGATCTGTATCTGGAATGACGCTGCTGGAGAGGGGGCGAATCTGTTTGGCSTGAAGAAGAAGTGGGCTTCTTCTTCTTCTTCTTCTAAGTCTCTTCTTTCCCCTCTCTCTCTCTCTTGTCTATGTATGTATATACTCGGTTACGGGAACAGATCTGTTCGACATTATTCATCAACAAGATTGGATTACTCGAGTTGCTTTGTCATTGAGCCACGGGACTTGTGCTGCACGAGCGCTGATGCTCGTGCGTTGCTGTGAACAGTATCTGCATGTCCAATGTGTGTTATCTCGCCTGGGTTCATTACAGTTTGGTATCGGAGCAGTTCTTCCGTACACGTGTAAGGAGGAGTATCGCGCGCACGTGCGCGCGCTGAACTTACATCACGACGACGATCAAGATCACGAAGGTGATCACGACCTTGAGGAAGATCATCACGACGACGAAGAGCATACGACGACGAAGTTTCATTGGGCCCCGCCTGAGCTGTGTCTTGACGCGCGTGCTCGATCAAGACCCGGACGCGCGCTGATGACGTGGCGGGAAAAATAGTGGGAGAGAGAGAATGCTGAAACGCGATTTTTATCAACACGATTGTCTAGACACGAAGCACTCATCCCTTGTAGAAGCTGCACGCGTCGGGGCCGAAGATGATGACGAGCTTTGATTGAAGAGGAAGATCTTGCTGATATGGCGGTATTGTATCGCATTGGCGAGATCTTGAGCAGGCACCAAGATTGCTGACGTGGCAGGGGAATATTGATGTGTTGTCATTTCCCTGTTGACGCGGCTTGGTTGGAGTACTAACTGGAGACCAGATTGGCTGACGTGGCACCCCCCTTATTGTTTGGTTCTTTGATGTTGACGTGGCAGGGGAATATCGACGTGTTATTGTTCCCTGTTCACTCGGCTTGATTGAAGCTGTATCAGGGGGCCAGATTGGCTGACGTGGCACCCCTTCATTGATTGCTTTCTGGATGCTGACGTGGCGAGTGTAATAGGCTTGCTGTGTTGGCATTACCGGGGTGTTACGTGATAGGCACGTATGTGCCTGGGTGAAAGATCATCCGCTGACAGAGGCGGTACAGCTGATTGAACAGCTGTAGTGCCAGCTGTCACGCTGGGGTCATTATTGATTTGATCAGGACTGACGCAGGGGATTATTGCTGCTGACATCTTGATTGCTGTTGATGTTGGCTTGTTTCTCCTGTATCGTTTGTTTGTTTGTCCTGTGCTGGCATACTCACCTATGTGTATCTGGTCACTCTGTTTGGTTTGGTACCTGCAAAACGACGTCATCACATTGAGTTAGGAAACAAGAACAGCGAAAAAGAACGAAAAAGAAAAATAATTGAAAAATAATCCTGCAGTTATTTTTGCTGTCAATGGCCTTGCTGTAATCTGCTGTTTGGAATCTGTGGGGCCGCGGAATTAATTATTGTTTATTTTTGTTTATTGTGCGGTAGATCCCCCACACCGAAATGTCTCAGGAAGGGACTGTTCAGACCCCAGCTGAGGGCCAGAGTGTTGAGCAGCTCCCTGACCCTCGTACCAGGGCCCAGGTTGAGCAGAGACGACAACTGTTGTCTGGACGGCTCAACCTTTTGGCCACTGAACTGCACGATGCCGGTGCAGAGGCTGAGTCCCATGTGCCGGCCCAGTTTGATCTGCGGAAAGCCCAGGCAGACCTGGACGCAGCTCAGACTGGCACCAACTTACTGAGGATCCAGGAGTTCATTATCCAGTGTCGTAAAGCACTGGATGCATACATCTGTCAGCAGTTCGAAGACATAGCAAATGGCAGAAATGCCAAAAATGAGGTGCACGGAGCAGACAATTGATGAGAATATTCGCCAGCTGGAAGAAGCTCTTGAAAAAGAGAAAACCTGCAAGGCAGAAATGATAAAGAAAAAAGAGCAAGATGAACAGCAATCAAAACGAGAACAAGAAGTCAGATAGCATGTGGTAACTGTGGAAGGGGAAGCACAGGTTGTGGCGCTGAACCAACTAGTTGAGTACCTAGCTCATTTGGAAACAAGACTTGACCATTTTGAAACAAAGTTGGAAGAATTGACCGTAGGATTGAGGAATGTGACTAACTTGGTCAAGGGAAAGGAAAAAGAGGTTCAGAAGGAACAATCTAAGAAGAAACTAATGAGTGATGCTATGAAAGATCTCAGGGTCGAAGTAAAGAAGGGGGAACCATCTGGGCCGACGCCACCCTCAAGTCCACCATCTAGTCCTCACCCATCAGGGGGAAAGAAAGACAAAGAAGAGAAAACTGAGAAGCCAAAGAAGAAGGAAAAGGTAAAGATGAGATTGCCTTTTACGTTTAGCAACAAGAGAGACGAACATTTGCTTGTTTGGATCGCCAAGATACAGACGTACTGTAGTACGACGCCTGTTGCAGAAGAGTCTCAGGTCGCATTCTCCACGTCTTGTTTGGGAGGAGAAGCAAAGGCGTGGGTCCTAGCTGAGGCTAACACGGCAGGTTTTGACGACATCGGTAAGTGGGCTGGAACAATGACTCTAAAGCAGTTCCTTGATAAGATCAAGGAACGCTTTCTTGATAAGACAACGACCGATAAGGCCTTCGACCAGCTTACTACGATTGGACAGAAACACTGGACGTCTGTGCAGGCTTTGTCTCACGAGGTCGATCGCTTGTTGCAAGTACCAGGCTTAAATCTGCAGGATGATCAGGTCCTGTATATTTATGCCCGGGCCTTACCTGAACCTATAAGAAGTCAGTTAGTGGCCGAGTCAAAGTCAGGTAAGTATAAGTACTAGCAGTTTCGTGATTTGGCTCTCCAAAGAGAGCAAATGACTTCTCAAGTTAAGCAGTCATATGCATCTGTGGTGAAATCTGGTGGTGGTGCAGGTGCAGGTGCGAGATACGGTAAGCGAGTCCTTTGGCGCCAAAAGCGTCAAGACCACATGCTTGCCGTCTTTGACGACGACACAATGGAGAAGCTACCGTTAGAAGAAGAAGGAGTTCTCAGCAACAGTGAGTCCGGAAAGGGGGACGTCACTGATGCCGTGGTCAACAAAGGAGGACCACGAGGTCTGTATCGAGGGAGGAAACCACGCTCGTTTCCTGCGCACCCAGGTATCGCGGCATTCAAGCCGTGGGAAAAGATGGAGATTGACCAAAAGACCTGGCAGGATAGAATGGATATCGCGCAGTGTTTGAAGTGTGGAAAGGAGGGACACATCATTGCATGGTGTCCACTCATTCGACACCCAAAAGCGAACCGCCAGTAGGAGTAGCATCTGCTCCTACTGAGTTGAAGAAGTCAGACGATGAGAAAGGTAAGGCGCCTACTAACCCTTTCACTTCTTCGACTTGCGTGGCAGACGATGGTTGTTCTCCGGCCCATCATCCATATCACCCTGAATCTGTCTTATGTTCTGTCTCTGTGGATGACTCCTTTGATGAGCTTGGTAATGAGTTGCTGGCACTACGAAGCTCATGGGCAAAGAAAGCAAAGTCTAAGGGTGTACTATTACTCGCGGATGTAGAGATCGCACACGAACGGACGAGTGCACTTTTAGACTCAGGATCTACACTGTCCTACATTTCTGAGAGAGCTATTCGCAAGCTTCATCTTGGAATGAAGGTAAAGTGTTTAGCACAACCTATCACGTCTATTCTTGCTGATAAAAGCATGATCACTGTCTCTCATTATGTCGATCGTGTGAAATGTAAGTTCAGAACTAAAACTGGAAGGAAAATTGTGCATGAAGTATCCTTCCTAATTGAGAAGAACTTGCCTTTTGATATGATTCTGGGAATGGATTGGCACGAGGAAGCCAACCCAGAAATCAAGTTCAAGGAAAAGGAAGTACGCCTGAAAAATGCACAATCTGAACCCGAGGCCATCAAACTGTATCACAAGTCTGGATCTGACACTACTCTGTCTTTCTGTTGCATGAGCTATCCAGCTTTTCGATCGATAGTCAGGAAGAAGCAATTGGATCAGGAGGTAATGATGGTGTTGGTAAAGGAAGTCGGTGAGTCTTCGACACCTTATCCTCCATCGATACAAAAACTCTTAGATGAGTATAAAGATCTATCTCAGGAACCTACTGGGATCACTGAGCGTACTATCAAACACACTATCGAGATCATTCCTGGAAGTAAGACTCCCAAGGGACCTATCTATCGAATGTCGCCTAGGGAACTTGAGGAATTGCGCAAGCAACTCTATGAATTAACTGACAAAGGATGGATTCACCCTAGTTCCTCACCTTATAGAGCGCCTGTCTTATTTGTGCCCAAAAAGGAAGGTGAGTTGCGTCTATGCATTGACTATAGAGGATTGAACTCCGTCACTGTGAAAAACGCTGAACCCCTACCACAAATTGACGACTTGTTGGATCAGCTGCAGGGATGCAAGTATTTCAGCAAGATTGATATGAAGTCGGGGTACCACCAAATCGAGGTGGCGCCCGAAGATCAACATAAGACTGCTTTTCGAACCAGGTATGGACACTACGAGTTTGTGGTCATGCCCTTCGGATTGACAAATGCCCCTGCGACCTTCCAAAGGTCTATGAACGAATTGTTTCGACAGTGGTTGGATCAGTTTGTAATTGTGTATCTCGATGACATCCTGGTCTACAGCAAAACGCTGGAGGATCATGAGAAACACTTGCGTCTCGTCTTGGGTAAACTACGCGAGGGTAATTTCAAACTTAACCCAAATAAGTCTGAGTTTGCAAAACCTGAAGTGCTCTACTTAGGGCATATAGTCAATGAAGAAGGAATCAGACCGGAAGCAAAGAAAATTTCAGCGATTAGAGATTGGCCACAACCAAAGTCCATCACTGAGTTGAGGTCCTTCCTTGGGTTAGCCAATTACTATAGGAAGTTTGTTAGGAACTTCTCCTTAGTTGTTGCTCCCATGAGAAGACTCCTGAAGAAAGGAACCATATGGTTGTGGGACAAGGACTGTGAGTCATCGATGAAGAAGTTAAAATATGCACTGACTCACTACCCTGTTCTGAAAATCGCTGACCCATCTCTTCCCTTTATTGTGACTACTGACGCAAGTCAGTATGGAATTGGCGCAGTTCTACAGCAAGACGATGGTAAAGGTTACAAACCTATTGAGTTCATGTCTGCCAGACTTCCTACTCAGAAGATCGCCGACTCCACTTACGAAAGGGAATTGTATGCGCTTGTCTGTGCACTGAAATCCTGGAAACACTACTTGTTAGGGAGACACTTCACTGTCTACTCAGATCACTCGACACTGAAGTGGATAAAGACTCAACCAAAACTCTCTGACAAACTAGTACGATGGTCTGCTTTCCTCGACACCTTTGACTTTGAGTTGAAGACAATCAAAGGTAAGTCTAACGTTGTGGCAGATGCATTGTCTAGGAGCTGTCTCTTATACACATCTAGATGTGTATAAGAGACAGGNTTTCCTCGACACCTTTGACTTTGAGTTGAAGACAATCAAAGGTAAGTCTAACGTTGTGGCAGATGCATTGTCTAGGAGAAGTGATTTCTTTGGAATCATTGTCTCTTACTTGGTTATTGGAAATGATGTGCAAGAACAAATTCGACAAGGTTATGCTAATGATCCTATCTGGAAACCCATCATTGACCTTGTCACTAAGGATCCTGCCCTGCTACCCAAGTATAAGATGACAAATGGATTGCTTTTCTTGATAGACCAAACTGAACAACGGTTGTGTATTCCTCACAAAGAAGAGATTAAAAGTCTGCTGATTGGGGAATGCCATGACTTTGCAGGACATTTTGGTTTCAAGAAAACTTATGCAGAACGCTTCGATTGGAAAGGACTAAAGGAAGATGTACTAACGTATGTGCGTACTTGTCTGGTATGTCAGAGAAACAAACCACCACATGAGGACCCTCTGGGTCTACTAAGGCCCTTACCGATTCCCAGCGAACCAGGTGAGTCTATCTCCATAGACTTCATGAGTCTCGTCAAGAGTCGAAATGACAACAGTCAAGTGATGGTTGTAGTCGATCGTTTTTCTAAGTATGCAATGTTTATTCCTTTGCCTGCTGAAGCGAAAACTGAGCTTGTGATCCAGAAGTTTCAGATGCGATGGGTAACTGCGTATGGATTCCCATTGTCTATTGTATCTGACGGGGATGTGAGGTTCACAAGTATGCCATGGCAAAAGCTGATGGAGGCATACGGCACTCGTTTGACCATGTCGTCAGGACGCCATCCTGAAATGAATGGCCAAAGCGAGCAAATGAACCGCTTGTGCCAACAACTCTTGCGCATGTATGTCAGGCCCGATCAGATTGATTGGGACGAGAACTTACCGAAAATAGCTAGTGCATACAACAGCAGCATCCACACTGCAACCGGACGCACTCCTAACGCACTACATAAAGGGTGGAAGCCGCGACATCCCATTGATGTATTGACCAAGGACCAATTTTTACGGCTACCGCCAGGGACTCGTGAATATGCAGTTTTGTTCCAAAAAGACATCCAGAAAGTTAAGGAGAACCTAAAGAAAGCACAAGAACAGATGATTAATCAGGCCAACAAACATCGAAGACCTGCTAACTTTCAAGTGGGTGACATGGTTTGGGTAAAGTCTAACGAGTTCTCCTTGGAAGAAGATGTTTCACAGAAATTGCTGCCTGTCTACTTTGGGCCCTGGGAAGTTCTCAAAGTAATTGGAGATGCAGAGGGACCGTCCTACAGAATTGATATTCCCCCGCATCTCAAAACCTACCCTGTATTCCATGCCTCTAAGTTGCTACCGTATGTGGAGGGAGATGAGTTTCCTAACAGGCCTTCTATGATTCCACCTTCGATGGAAGGAAGTTATGAAGTAGATCGGATTGTAGACCTTCTTCTCCATCGGAAGGCGTGGACGACCACAGAAGCAGTTCAAGGTAAGGTTTAAGACTCAAAAACCTTCCAAGGATCGGTGGTTCAGCAAACAACAGCTCCTTGAAACTGCTCATGACATCGTCTCTGCATATGAGCGTGGGTTGAAAGGTTAGTTATTTCTGCGATGGAACTTGAAATTGGGTCGGCAGGAATGCAGTAACCCGCACTCAGCAGAGGCCGGGCTGTGTGACCACGCACTGCCCGGCCCAGCCCAGCGTCTGGCCAGTGAGACCCAGCGCTGGACTGGGGAAATTCAAAGGTCAAAGTCAACTGCCCGGTCGCAGGTACCGTACCCAAGTCCACGAACAGATACACACGTGTTTGTATGCAGGTACCAGGCCAAGACATCGGACCAAGGGAGAATCGGTCGCAGACCGATCCAGGCCGTCGCAGCATTAAGATCTTGACGTCACAGGACTGCTGCACCGGGGCATTGACCCCGAGTCAACGCTACTTAAGGTTGACTCCTGGCTTTGACATCATTCATTCTGTCGAGAGTCAAAGCTGACTCTACTTTGACGCGACGCTGGCTTGTGAGGTGCTACTTGCTGGCTGAGCACTGGCGTTCTTTAGCGTCGACACGCTGCTTGCTTGCTGGCATGGTGGCTGGCTTGCTCCTGTCTACACGGTACTGACGTGGCAGCGCCACGTGTCGTTGCTGATGTAGCTGCTGCCACGTAGTGTGCTGGTGACGTGGCTGTGCCACGTGTTCATTCGCTGTTCAGACTTTCGTCGTC